CAAATCATTCGCATATCAGACTGATCTCCCATAAGGGTGGTCAAGAACAGAAATGCCAGCAAGTTCTCTCTGCATAAGAGACACAGTAACCCCAGACAATGCTTTTGGCCTACTTTGGGCCTTGCTAGAGGCTGAAAGTGTAACTGATACCCTATTAGGAATAATGAAGACTGGGTCCAAGTCTGGATCACCCTTTTAAGTTAGGGAGAGCTCAAGCAAATGCATTGCTACAAATACAGAGAATATGAGAACTCGGGAGAACATGAGAGTTACAGCAACAGCGAACAATCATTTCAGCCTTATTGGGCCTATTAATTGAGATGTCATAGTCTATGTTTTCATTACTAAGAAGTAATGTTAGTTAATAGGTATGCTGAAGTCATCGAGTTTGAGATATGGAGTGTCAGAAGAGAAAAAGTGAGAAAGACAATCAGAAAAGTTATCAAAGTACCAGTGGGATGGTAGATAATGATGAGGGGATGGAATATTTAATATCACACAGCCTGGAAGAGGAATTTAGCTGCATGCCAAGGTAGGATAGCATTCAGAAATCTTTGAAGCTCTCCACCGTGTGTGTTTCTCCATATAGTATTGTATATAGAGTGGAAAAAAAAATAGAGTAATAAAGAAAGAAAGTAAACTGACAAAACCGTGGAAACAAAATAAAATGAGAAATGAAAGAAGAAAGAAATCAAATAGAATAGAAAAAATAAATAACTACTTCCTCTAGACTTTTGTCCTTAGTGTTATTTCAAATTATTTTTGTTTATTTCACTTACATTGATATTTTATGGTCAGAAAGTCCTTTACAGGACATCACAATGTGTTATTTAGGAGGACTAGCCATTAAATTATCATGATATCAACACTAGATACGGACAATAATACTTAAAATGGCACCAGAGCTCAGAAACTTTCATTATCTCCACCTTTTCCATTTTTCTATATAGTAGTTTTTGGGAAAGAGAGACAGAAGAGTTCAAATATAGTGCAAACACATTTCCCATGAAACATTTTTTGATAGATAAATCGTCCCTCAAATATATCTTCTGATCATGTATACTTTGTCTGTTAGTCATTAGAATCTCACGTATGTATTATGTTTTATACAAATTGCTTATTTCAGTTATCAAAGTGAGGATAGCAAATATAACAAAGTCTCAGATGGAAAATGGTTTCATGAAGATGAGTCACCATGTACTGGGAATGCAGATCTGGTAACAATTTGCATGATTTAAACTAATACTACGATAAAACATTATTTATTTTTTTAATATCTGCTTTTGATGAAAACAATTTTTCTATTAGTTGAGCAGTGAAGCTTTTATAAAATTCAAATGTAAAAATGTACTAGATATTTTTCATGTAAGATGGAAAATATTGGGATTTTTATTTTCAATGTTCTATGAAAATGCACTTGCTTAACAAACTTTAAATCACTAATGAGGTTACTTTGTTTATTATAAACATTATTTGTTACATACTTTTTAGTTTTTAAATCAAGATAAATTTGTAATTTAAAGCCTGCAGAAATACATCTGTCTCTTATATAACAAAACTAAAAGGCTAACGATTGACCCCATTAACATTTAATGTCTTATGCAATATAAAAGTAAGCAGGCTGTTGATCTTATGTGTAATAAATATGTTATATGATATTTGCGGTGAATACTTAAAATGATTATTCCAGCCCTTCACTATGTATATATCATAACACCATCCTTTACATATGTATTCTGTTAACCTTACTTTAACCAATTTAGGGATTCCTTAATGTCTTCATTTCTTCCAAATTAGCCTGTCAGATTAAATAAAATAATCTCTGCATTATAAAATATTTAAAAAAAAAAAACCTTGTTAAAACCTTTGCAAAGAAGGTTTGTAATAGAAAGAATCCATTGGTAGCTTCTTTTGAAATTCTATAAACAGATTGTAATTAGCATGCCACTCCTTACAATTATTTTATCCTCAAGAGGGGAAATGTGACTGGCAACTTTTCTTTAGAGTAATAGAACCCTTTTGGTTAATTTAACCCCTTAAGGACCAAACTTCTGGAATAAAAGGGAATCATGACATGTCACACATGTCATCTGTCCTTAAGGGGTTAAGACAAGTGGAAATGTTACCCCATACCTTGTAGACGTTGCTACTAGACAGTGTTTTTGTTGAGTTTACCCAGGGAGAGTCATATTTTCAATAGTCAGACATTTAAAAAAAAAAAATACAAATATGAAAAATGATATCTTACATTTCCATAAAGTCGAATGCATTCTTAAAAAAAAAAAAGATTTTACCCTTGATTGTCATATTTTCAAAAGTCACCTTAACAATAACCCTTTCTTACTTATTAAATGCATGTTTTTTAAAACCTACCACAGCGAAATGGTTGTACTTAAGTGATTTTCACAAGGACTGGGACAGAATGCTGGAAAGAAGCCAATGACAAGGCTATTTTCATTTCTCATAAATAAATTTAAAAAAAAAAACAAGAATGCAAACAAATAAGGTTGGATTCTATAGGAATGAAAATGTGCTATGTCACAGACTGGATGATTTGTTTCATATTATTTTTTTCTATTTGCGCTAGACTTTGAAGATTTTTTTTTTTACTTATGTATTGGTAATGAACGGCTACTTCAAAGAAACTGAGTAAATATAACATCGGTGAATACATATGTAAAACTACATATAATACCAAACACAATGTGTAAATACAAACTAAAGGGAGACACAAAAATTACACCCAGTGAAAATATTTTAATAAATAAATATATGCTTCCTGAAAAAGCTGTATTCTCCAGGACTCGTCTGAATTCTCAGGAAACATAACTAAGAACAGGGGAATATACTGCAAAATAATACAATTACAAATATCTCAAAGGGCGATAAGTACTCAAACGGACTCTTTCGGTATACCATATTGCACTCATAAGGGAGGAGAAATTAAACGCTTAAATTAAACTTTACTTACTCTTCCCTTGTGAGTGCAATTTTTGGACATGGTGCAGAACCTGATCACTTAAAACAGTGGAAATATTGGGCACTCTGGTATTTGGAATACTGGGGGTGATAGCTGAATATTTTCCAGGGGAGGGTTTCTTGTTTTAAGGTGTTTTTAAAATTTAAAAATAACAAGGAAAAAAGTGTATCTAGGTGCTTCTTAAAGTTAATATTGATTATGTGTCAATGGTGTAAAGTGCTCCCCTTGCTCTAGAGCAGGGGTTCTCAACCTTGCCCTCAAGGACCCCCTACCAGTCCAGGGTTTAGGGATTACCTGGGTGTGTCTAAGGTGTTTAGAAAAAGAAAAAAAAACACCTTAGAGTCTAAGGTTTTCTTTTCTTCCCTTTTTCTAAACACCTTAGACACACCCAGGTAATCCCCAAATCCTGGACTGGTAGGGGGTCCTAAGGACTGGGTTGAGAACCCCTGCTCTAGAGCATACAATGGTAAAAAGAATAGATACCAATGTAACCTATTGTATTGGTACTTATTCTTTTTACCATTGTTATTTAGATTTAAACTCGTATATGACAGGCTAGAAAATTGGGGATGGATTATAGAGCATTCACTGGCCATTTGATTCATGTGAGATCATACATTACAGCGCTATGGAATTTGCTGGCGCTATATAAAGAATAAAAGAATAAAATAAAATAATAATAATGTGTGATCCAACAATGTTTATTAGCTTCATCTCCAAAGTCCATGTGTTAAAAGAAGATAAAACATTAATAACCCTCACTATGCTACATAGTGGAGGATATGAGAGGACTGTTAACATGTCCGCCAGACTATTGGGGTTAATCTATCACTCCTTTTTGCCATCTCTCATGCACTGAACCCGTATGTGTATGAATATTCCCTGTTATATATTCCCTGCCAGAGTTACACGTAGAGCCTTATTTACAAAGAAAACATTCATTCTATCCATGTACTAATCACTGTATTTGCCTCTCGGGCTCCTGTTGATCCATATGCCTTATTATTCACAACCATTTGTTCCCAACTGCACTTTTTATTGTATTTCATTGCTCACCATCGCTTCCACTCAAAGGGTTAATGCTTTATAGGTGGAACATGCTACAGTGCAAATCAAAATGTGCAATATTATGTTTCCTCAAGATGCTATAATTTTCCTAGCTGAAATGTTGGAAGGACATAGTAACCTGACATAGGGCATTGTAAAACCTATTAGCTCGCACAATGCCAAAAAAGTTATTTTACTTTGCAAAATATGCACTTGAAGCCTAAGAAAGAACATGCACAGACTCCATATGGTTTTTACATTATTCTACCCACCCCTTCTCTTTTTTCATGAAAGTAGACAGCAATGCCGATAAACCTTCAATGGACTTTAACAAAAACTTCAGTAGTAATACATGGTGTTATTGAAAAATAAATCAGATATCTTGTTTAAAGCATTATATGGAGTAAGGAAATTATTAACATTAGGACTGAGAAAACGAGACGCTGTGGGGTTTCCTGCATTAGAAAAGGCTTTGAATGAGAGGTGAATTGGATAGAGAGATGAGGATTGGGGAACCCTGTGGCTGTGAGTTCAAAGCTGTATTTGCAAAAGTCTATTTCAAAAATCACCTTCTGCGACCTTCCCCTTCCTAGATAAATTGTCCGTTTATTAAAGTACTAGACCTTTTCTTTTATGAAACAAAAATCCAAGCAAACTATTACTATCTTACTACAGCAGCCAATAATTGTTGAATTACAACTTCCAATCAAACTCAGCCAGCATTTAATTTTTTAATACGTATTGCCAGCTGGCATGGTGAAAAAAAACAAACACACACACACACACACACATATTTTATAACCATTTTACAACACCATAAGATATTCTAGACTTGTATATTAAAGGAACACGATAGGGCCAAGAACACAAACATCTATTCCTGACTAGAGATGTCGCGAACCGTCCGCGAACTTCTCGCGAACGGTTCGCCACGAACTGTTCGCGGCGAACCGTTCGTGGCGAACTCGTGTCAGCTGACACATCCCTGCCAATCTCCGGCAGACCCTCCCTCCCAGACCCTCCCATCTCCTGGACAGCATCCATGTTGAAGCTGCCTTCAACATGGATGCTGTCCAGGAAGTAGGAGGGTCTGGGAGGGAGGGTCTGCTGGAGATTGGCCGGGATGTGTCAGCTGACACAAGTTCGCCATGAACAGTTTGTGGCGAACCGCGGCGAACCGTTCGCGAGAAGTTCGCGTACGGTTCGCGACATCACTATTCCTGACTCTATAGTGTTTAAAACACCATCTAGACACCCCTAGCCCACTGAAATATAGTAAAACATGACTTTTATTCCAGGCTGCTGCTGCTGGCTCTGCTCTTGACATTGTCAGGGTGGCGGTCCGGTGCCCGGGACCCAGACACTGTCCGGGCGGCGGTGCATGGACCGGGACCCCTGAGTGCCTGATGTTCAGAGTAGGAGTCACTGTGTGGAGGTGGATTAGCAGGGTCTGGTGCAGGGTAACCTCAGGCCCCCTGGTGTTGAGCACCAGCGTTTGTGCAGCCACATACCAGAACCCTGATTCAGCTTATGCAGATCCCAGGAACTAGGAGCAGGTAATTAAGCAGACCTCCCAGGAGCTGGATAGGGAGGCTCTGCAGCAGGGATGTATCCAGTACTGAAGCAAGGCAAGACTAGAAACTAGGAGATCAAGGCAAGACTAGAAATAGGCACCGAACATGAAAAACAGGACAAAACTAGAAAAGTTACAATTTCTGGGGAAATTGTGTGAAGTGTTCTTGCCTCCACCTGTAGTCTACAACTGGAGTGGGCGGAGTAACTGTTATCATTTACATAGCACATTTAATTGCAACGTTGTTGCACAGTTACATTAAACCATACATTTATAAAAACATTAGCAGGTGTTCAAAAGGCCCTGTCTATGACATCACTTGCTGCTGCAGCTTGACACAGGTCAGAGTATTTTGGTGGTTGCCATCTTCAAACGGTCGTATCTTAAAAACTATAACTCCTACAGTGAAGAGCTTTATATTGTGAGAATCACAAGACCCAGACCTACATTTTGATGCATAGTATGTCTCTGAAGTATTAAAAATGAAGGCACAGTCGCAGTTTAGAAATTGCACTTCAAATTTGAGCTTTGCAGAGTGAAGTTTCAATGAATGTCAATGGACGGCGTTGGTTGCAAACAAATGGTCATATTGTGAAAACTATCAGGACTACGGCTTAGCCGTTGACATGTTTAGTGGCAGCAGGGATAGCTGAACGTTTTGATATAAGATTTGTGTAGGTGGGCCTGAAAATAAGGGAGTGGTGGCAGTTTAGAAATCATGTCCTGATTTTTCAGCTTTTGCCAGCTCCCACTCTAGCTTTGCCATTCATTCCTATGGGACAAATTTCGCCACAAGAACGACGATATTCCGTGAACCATTCGGCGAAACGTTCCACAAAGTAATAGCAATCCGATCGGGAACAATCTGCACGTTTTGGTACATTTTTGTCTATGTAGTGTAAAAACTGTGGGAGGAGTTAGGGTGGCAAATTTTGCTATAATAAGAATAAGAATAATAATAATAACTAGAAAAGTTACAATTTCTGGGGAAATTGTGTGAAGTGTTCTTGCCTCCACCTGTAGTCTACAACTGGAGTGGGCGGAGTAACTGTTATCATTTACATAGCACATTTAATTGCAACGTTGTTGCACAGTTACATTAAACCATACATTTATAAAAACATTAGCAGGTGTTCAAAAGGCCCTGTCTATGACATCACTTGCTGCTGCAGCTTGACACAGGTCAGAGTATTTTGGCGGTTGCCATCTTCAAACGGTCGTATCTTAAAAACTATAACTCCTACAGTGAAGAAGCTTTATATTGTGAGAATCACAAGACCCAGACCTACATTTTGATGCATGTATGTCTCTGAAGTATTAAAAATGAAGGCACAGTCGCAGTTTAGAAATTGCCCTTCAAATTTGAGCTGGCTTGAGTGAAGTTTCAATGAATGTCAATGGAAGGCATGAGTTGCAAACAAATGGTCATATTGTGAAATCTATCAGGACTATGGCTTAGCCGTGGACATTTCTAGTGGCAGCAGGGATAGCTGAACGTTTTGATATAAGATTTGTGTAGGTGGGCTTGAAAATGAGGGAGTGTTGGCAGTTTAGAAATCATGTCCTGATTTTTCAGCTTTTGCCAGCTCCCACTCTAGCTTTGCCATTCATTCCTATGGGACAAATTTCGCCACAAGAACGACGATATTCCGTGAACCATTCGGCGAAACGTTCCACAAAGTAATAGCAATCCGATCGGGAACAATCTGCACGTTTTGGTAAATTTTTGTCTATGTAGTGTAAAAACTGTGGGAGGAGTTAGGGTGGCAAATTTTGCTATAATAATAATAATATATATGTGAGATAACATTAAGTGATCTTGCTATGCAAGAACACTTAATAATATATATGTGAGATAACATTAAGTGGTCTTGCTATGCAAGAACACTTAACTAGGAGAGCAAGGCAATACTACAGATAGGCACCATACATGAAAACAAGACAAAACTAGGAGAACCCAGAACCCGAGCGGGACAGAAAGCATAACCTACAACATGTACACAAGACATGAGGAAAACAAGAACATAACATGGGTATGACTGGACAGGACTGTACATGGACTGGGATTACAAGACAAAGTAAAACAAGGCAAGAGATACAAGGTAAAACAAGAGGAAACATAGCTAAGCATTAATTATGAAAAGTATGGGGATTTAGTCACATTATATGATCATACATTGCACAAGCCTGCCAACAATGCCAATGTACCCCATATCTGGCAGGTCCTACACTGCCTAATGCATGCTAAAACAACCATACTAAACCACAATATAGCACTTACCTGCAAGAAAGGGCAGAGACTAGAAACACTGCTGCAGGTCCAGGCTGAAACAAAAGGAAAGTGGAAACCAAACCGGTGTGGCAACATAAAACAAACATTTAAGTGAATCCAAGAGACTGGGAAATCCAGGGACAGAATATAAGAATGAACCCAGAAACTCAGCAACAAAGAAAACCAGACATAGACCAGAAAAACAAAGCAAAGAGAGCAAAAAGAGTACTGGATACCAGAAGCCATTGCCAGAATGATCCGCAGCAAGGAACAGGATGTGACAGACATCCTCAGAAGTAGTGTTCTCAGCCAATCACAATGCTTTACCATAGGATTGGCTGAGACTGTCAAGGAAGCAGATCAGGGGCAAAGCCAGCACAAGTCAAACAGAGCCATGGCCAATCAGCATCTACTCATAGAGGTGCATTGAATCAATGCATCTCTATGAAGAACATTCAGTGTCTCCATGCAAAGGGTACACTACACATCACTGCCCCAGGAAGCATCTCTAGCAGCCATATGAGGAGTGGCCAGTGGAGGTATTCCTAGGCTGTAATGTAAACACTGCCTATTCTCTGAAAAAGAATGTGTTTACTGCAAGCCTGAAGGGAATGATTATACCCACCAGAACAAATTTATTAAGTTGTAGTTGTTCTGATGACTATAGTGTCCCTTTAATATATAAACTAATATATCTATGATATGCTACTACTACTAATAATAATAATTAAAAAAAAGTTGTTAGTATTATTATAAAGTACTGTCTCTCCTATGGTTTTATCATAGAAACATAGAAACATGGAATGTGACGGCAGATAAGAACCATTCGGCCCATCTAGTCTGCCCAATTTTCTAAATACTTTCATTAGTCCCTAGTCTTATCTTATAGTTAGGATAGCCTTATGCCTATCCCACGCATGCTTAAACTCCTTTACTGTGTTAACCTCTACCACTTCAGCTGAAAGGAGCTGCATCATACATTTTTACACACCCAGGATGAACACAACAGCTTTTTAGTTTGTAGCTGTTATACAAAATGCATTCTTCATGGCCGCATTGAATAAAAAACGAGACTGCGTACCATCATCTATTTTATATTTAGTTATTAATTATAGACTTACAGTCTTCATTTTTTAAGCATCCCTGATGAAAGCAATACTATAGTCAGCCTACCCTCTCCCACAATGCAGTCAAGAAATTGACACACTTGGGTTACTGTAGTATTTCCATTTTTTTCTGCCCTCTGCAGAGCATTGGTTACATAAATAGACAGTCATCATGATAAGTTTTAATTTTGTTTCATTTACTCCTTATCGTCCACTTTCCTTTGGTTCCTTATTTCTGATTGGTTGATTATCACAAATATTTTCCCTGCATTGTTATAGCAGGATATGAAGAAAGTAGGCCCCGAGTTATGATTGTTACCAGACTCAGGCTGCAACTGAGCTCATGGAAATGATTTGCAGATATCAATTATGGCTTACAGTTAATTATAGCTTAGCAAGTCCCACTTCCCCCTCATTTAGCTCTTTAGTCTTGTTGATTCTATCTTGATGTAAATTACAGACCGAGTAAAATGAGAGGTGTTGGGGTGAGTGACACCTCAGTATGATGAAGCAGTGACTCAGAATAAGCCAATTATTCTCTTTTAACCCCTTTCGCCACTGAGCACTTATCCCGTAACTCCAAGATCCAGATGCTGTGTTGTTAAGGATAGTTGAGGATACAGTTTATCTACATAAAATTTTCATGAAATATGTGAAATAATGATAAAATAACTGTTGAGATTATTTTTCAGGAACTTGTAGAATTGCATACAAATAATGTGTCAAACACTGATTCTGTTTATAAAATTTTCCTTGTATCACAATTATGCATCCAGTCTCTAACCACATCATGTTGAAGTTTTTTTTCAGACATACTGTATTTCTACAAGAAAAATGGTCATACCCTGCCCATTGGGCATTTTGTTAAATAAGTCACCTATTTCTGAGGATGCCATTATTTATAAACTAGTGTATATGTGGTTGCAATGCCACATACAGTAAAAGTAGCTTTTGTCTGATAAAACATACTTCTGTTAATGAAAAGAACCATTAGCTTCATAAGTTTAATTCTGCCTGATTCACAGCTTGTGCAACTTCTGCACCTTTTCTACCCAGGAGTGGGTGATGTCATATTCAGTTTCTCTGTATGCTATAACAGCAGTGGCCAGTGTATCTGTAGATAAATGTGGGCAATCAAAAGGGAGGTAAGTGAATCTTTTTAATTTTGAAACACAGATTTGG